CGCTGCACTTAGCAACTGTGCTGCACTTAGCGACTGTCCTGCACATAACTGAATGCAGCGCTGCACTTAGCGACCGTTCTGCACATAGCTGAATGCAGCGCTGCACTTAGCGGCTGTTCTATATCCTAGCTGCACTTAGCAACTGTTCTACACCCTAGCTGCAGCGCTGCACTTAGCAACTGTGCTGCACTTAGCGACTGTCCTGCACATAGCTGAATGCAGCGCTGCACTTAGCCCAAAATGCGTTTTTTTCTGAATGCAGCGCTGCACTTAGATGAAAAAGCGTTTCTTCCTGTACGCAGCGCTGTACTTAGATGAAAGAGCATCTTTTGCTGAATGCAGCGCTGCACATAGCTGGATGCTGCTTATAGTTAAATGCACCGCTGAACCTAGCGACTGCGCCGGACTAACTAAACCCTTGTTTCACATGTATTGCAGGGTATAAGGAGGAGATATTTACCAATCAATAGCAAAATTTACTATAGAGGAGCACTTACTTCTAACTTCTAATTTCTAAAATTACACTACTTAACATTGAATTAATTAGTTAGTTTGACATTTTTATTGATCAGCGGTCGTAAAATTAGTGCTTATGTTTTGCTTGTCCAGGTTTGAGTCACTTGTTATCAAATTACGTCTTCCGAAACATGAGTGGCAATAATAAAATCCCTTATTATCAATTTTGCACTAACACAAGCTTCTTAGTTCATGCAAATCATAATTGGAGTTGTAAGAAGAGGAGCAAGAAGAAAGCCTATGTTATAAAAAGCAATTTTCAAAGTCCCATAAAAAGACTCTCAGAAAATACTTTCATGATACTTTTATTTTACTTTCATAATAATTTGACTTTACTTTCATGATATTTTCCAACCCATCAGCGAAGGATGAGAGGTATATTAATTTGTTAAAATGTTTGCAATGCTCTGGGCAAAAGTATTGAACGTTCTTACACCGGGGTTGGTACGGAAAATGGGTCAAATCGGTTGTAGGGCACGCCCACAACACCACGTATAATAGACCTGTTTTTAAAAATAAATAAAAATTGGTTTTTTGCTTACTAATCATAGTCTATTGACGATAAATGTACAAAAATTCCTACGCTTTTTTGGGCGATGCTATAGTACTCGTACAAAAGTATTATGTTAAGTACAGAAATTTTCAAAGTCCTAAAAAAAAAATTCTCCGGGCAAAACTTAATATAACCTGCACACCGTTGGAAAAGCCGTTAGTAGAGGATTAACTCTGTGCTAAGTTCATTTTTTCAAGGGACATGGTTTGGCCACAGTAGCTCCGCAAACTTTCGCTTTATCAACCTTATTTATGGCATAGCGTAAAAAAGTTTTGGTTTCGAATATTAGTTAACTTACATAAAGTTAGGTTTTGTTTATAATAATTTGCAAAAAAAATTCTCGAAAAGTTCTATTTTACTTGTATTTTGAGTTAAACCCCTTCGAGACTTCGTTTAACAGAATTCTGATAACGGCTTTACAGAGCTCTGCAAAAAATTTTAGTTTTTGTCTTTGCTAGTTATATTTCAATATAACTTCACACCCTTCTTGCACCTGGAATTATTTTATGCCCCCGCAATTGCGATAGCCACGACGACAACGGGTATTCCCCGTAAATACAATTTTATAAATCATTAGCGTCTGGACGCGTGCCATTATTGCATACTTTTGCATCCAGCTTATCCATACTCCCTGGAATGCGATTGCAATTTTCCCCCATGGAGACTTATCTACCAAGAGCAGATATCGCGGTTAGGGACACCGGCATGTGATATACGTATTTCTTTAAGTCATAAAGGGGTTGGCAGTATTATTATGTTACTTAAATGGAGAGTATTAGAATGTGCGTATGTTGATGGCCTGTCGCAAGCTTGATAGGAGTTTTGTTATTGTCTCAGAGGAATAAGTATCCGCAAAAATTCTAAAGTCTATGCTATTCCGAAGCGTTGAATATTAGTTTGTTTTTCGTAATATTCTGGAATCACCCTTCATTTGAGACCTACTTTCAAGCCTGAAGTTTATAAGTGATGTGAATGGCAACTTTTAGACCGTATTCCATTATATAGGCAATCAAATAGTGAATGAGTATTTCATTAGATGCCCCATTATAGCAAAACAATAAATAAATAAATAAAAGAATTCTTTTCACTTACCTGAAATCCAAACTTAAATTTCTCTGATGTGTCGATGCGCGTTTTGGAGGATTTGTACCATTTGTTTGTGTGGGACTGCCTGTACCTGCGACAGATGAGCCCGAAGTCGCTGCTCCCGGTATGCTCATATTTGGTCTACCATGAACCGAAGGCATTGAATGATTAATGAAACGACTTAAGCTTAAACGTGGTTTAGAATAGCGTGAATGTTTCGGTGTTGTGGCAGCTGAGTTGATGCACTGGTTACTTGTAGGCAATGTAGCTAAGCTGCTGTTACTGTTTGGCATAATAATGGGGAGCGTCACATGAGAGGATTTTAGGAATGCCGGCATATAATCTGTGTTCATATGTGAAGATCGTGTTACCAAGGTGGGAGAAGATGGAGCCGAGGTTTCGTTGGCATTCAGAGACGAGCAGGTGGAAGAGACATCACAACTTGTTATTGAACTGCAAGAACTTGGACCGGAATTACATAAAGCCACACAAGCTGAAGAAGAGGTTGAAGCGGTTGTAAATGGACTTGCTGCCGAAGACAATGATGACGATGTCGATGCCGATGTCGATGCCGATGCCGATGCTGATGACGACGACGATGATGCTGATGATGACGACGAAGTTGACGATAGAGTCGATGATGAGCTACTACTGCTGTTCAGACTCAAATTCAGACTTTTGGCGGGGCTTACTGGTAGTGCTTGTTGTTGTTGTTGTTGTTGTTGCTGCAGGGGCAATTGTGTTGCTATTGGGCTATGAACAACTGTACTGTTGCTATGCTCGCTGGAACTACTGCTACTGGTTGTGCTGGTGCAAGCTGTAATTGAATGTTCGGATTCATCATCGTCAGCAGCATCCACCAAATGTTGTGTGGGACTGCTACTATTAGCATTCGTAAGTTGACCATTTAGAGCGGTCATACTATCCACCGCTACGTCATTGCAATTGCCATTCTCTAAAACAGCTGATGGAGCTGCTGCTTGTTCACATGTTATCTGTTTCGAACCGTTCATATTACAATCAGTGGATGGTGCGCGATCCAAGCCCGATGTTATTCGCACTGTTTGTACTATAGGCACATGATCGACTACGTCAACACTGGTCATTGGTGTTACGGTGGCTGGACGGAAATTTAACATTTCCGTTTCTAATAAATCATCTGCCATTACTACCGGAGACAGCAGCTTTGTCGCCGTATCAATTTCCCTAATATGCCTCAAGTATTGATAACTATTATCTTGCGCATTAATGGCTTTCTTCTTGGAGCTTGTCGTTGACAGCGTGCTGCTGATCAGACCCAAACTATTGTGTTGTTTATCGTTATTAGCCATCGTTTGAACGGGCCCCGCATTGCTGCTGGAATTCTTTTTTGTTTTAAATGCAGATATAACGGAATTCATATTTTTGCTTTCCTTTGTTGGTTTTTGTTATTTATGGTCGTCTCCTTCGCGATCGATTGTTGATGATTTTATCTAATTTAAAGTGAATGAGTATTACTGAGGTGATCGGTTAGTTGAAGGGATGCTAGAATGAACTGGAATCAAGACATCTTATGTTAACATTCTCTAGTTTGCCGCACCGAATTCACAACCGTTCGAGTAATCCGCCAATAGAACACTTTCCTATACTTAATCCTGCTTTCATTATAGACAATATTGCGAAGAGCATCTATATGGGATAACATAAAAACTTTGTCACGGGTTTTTACGCGAGAGTTTTTGAAAATGTCAACTTGTTTAGAAATCTGTGATCTGTAAGAAAAGAAAAGAAAGGGAAAATTGTAAAAATAAATCTCAGTATAAAAATAATTCATTAATGGCAATCACCACATCGCGCTGATGCCTTTCTTTGCATTGATTATTAAAGCGCCCAGTAGGACGATGCAAATGAAATCAATTTTTTTTTGCATATAATTTCGTAAGTTTTTGTTTATCCTTTTTAGTTCCATAGTTATTATTATTACCATTTATTATTTTTTTTTTTTGCGACGTGAAATGAAACCAAATCAAGAACATCGCAACTCGAGGCCTAAGTGCGCATATAAAATTACCAAAGTGAACTACACGTTCACTGATACAATTGCAAGTTACGTGGATGCAACTTACAAGACCATACGGTTTTGCCTTGCGTTTAAGTTGCTCTTAAAGACTAATTAACAACAACAACTAATAGAAACTGGAAATATTTTAAATGTTTGCAATTAAGATTGCGGCGAGCGCGCGACTGTAGATTCAATTATGTACTCGTTCATCGTTGTTTTTGTTGTTTTCTTTTTTAATGATCTACTGCCAAATGTGTATTTGGTTGCAGTTTCAGCAAGAGGCGCCTCATTAATGTGTTAGCAAGTCAGCCAACTCATTTGAGGACGGCCTTGACAAAAATTCGTACACAACCAGTGAAATGAAATGAACTGAACTATACTGAGTTGCTATAGAGATTGGTAGCGATTGTCAGAGGTTCGTTTTTCGTTTCTCTTTTGCCAAGTATTGCCAAAACGACTACAATGTTTAGCTTTTAAATATAGAGAAAAGACAACAACTAAAAAAATACTAAAATGTTTCAATACCCACAATTAAATACCCTACACTATATCCCTTAATATCGTTATTCATATAATAAAGTTTTGAAATACGGCGCCATATGGAAAGTAGTGGAAAAAGTGAGTCAATCCGAATCATTTCCAACACCGTACATCCTTGCGCCGAAACACGTCGATATACCAATTTTCATCAAATTATTCCAAATATTGCGATCTGTAAATTGCACACAAAAATATGAGACGTACGAACAGAAAGACAAACTTAGATCAATCGATCGATATAATAAAGGGTGAATTTATCTCAAGTTCTTCTGGCTATTCCATACAACCGTGCTTGATATACCGTTGGCCCTTGTACCCCAAGTGGCGAAGGATATGATAAAGAACAAAGAAAGATTAGAAAAAACCTATTCCCCGTTAAATTGCATATTAATACAGATACTTAACGGTCGTCGAAGTTCAAAGTATTTGTTTAACGAAATCCTATAAAAGGATTCGAAAAACCCCAACCACATGCATTCATTTGTTGTAGTATGCGACATTGCAACCCTCGTAGGGACGCGGCAGATTTGCTAAATTTTTTTTATGTGTACAACAAGTAAGGATAGTATAGTAACGAAAGGCCGACTATTAAAATACCATATATCATATTGTCTAACGCAACACTTATTTTTTTATGAAATTACTAACACGGATCAATTTTCATCACTCCATATTAAAACTGCGACTTTTGTGTCGTACCAGGTTTCAATTCTCGTGAAAATGCCTATTAGGGTAGAATCAAAAAAATAGGCCGCGATGGTCCAAATTTGGTACAGGTAATTTTTTAGCGCCAAACGATCCAAAGTTTTCACACTAAATTAAAATTGATGATATATTATTACTTAGCCACCACTTTGCTGAAATTTTGAAAACTGAAATTTTATTCCATATAACGACTTTTCAAAATAGGGCGTTATGTGAGAAGTGGTCGAGAAAGTATACCGATCGAAACTATTTTCAATAGCGTTCCTTCTTGCGTCAATTTACCGAATTTCATCGAAATACCTGCGACCAGCAGCTTGAACACAAAAATACATGGACCGACATAAAATATGCAGACGGACAGACAGACAGTAGATAGGTTGAGAAAATGACTCTAAATCGATTGGTATAATAATAGGTGGGTATGTCGTATGGGTGTTACGTACGTCCACACAAACCTAATAAGCCCTGTGTCAAAAGTAATATAAGGTATAAAGAGGCATTGACTGTGCATTGCCAAGTAACGGCCAGAAATGCAGATGTGAAAAATTATATATCTTCAAGATGTGATGTGTAGTCAGCGCAGTTATCGCAGAGGATCGCATTAATCTATTGTCCATTCTTTTGTGTAACAATGCCCGCCCATCAAATGAATGCTCTTTTAAAATAATCAATAACAAAGCATAAAGAATCTCTTATTATTTTATATTAAGTTAAGAGCAATTGCAGATATCTTGTGAAGACACACTTGCGACACTTGACACTTGTCGCCTAACGTTTACACTCTACAGACAAGAGTACATTATTGTTTTCGTTATGAAGATATTGAGAGCAGCTTGCAAGAAAAAAATTGTATGAGTGTAAAAAAAAGCAAAACGTTCATAGCGATATATGTGAATGAATAAAAATGGTTTGTTATGGAAAAATCCAAAGAATAATAGTAGAGTTCAACGTCCACTTGTCTTCTGTATTAAATTTCAACAAAAGTAAATGCAAAAAATAGATTTAATTGAAACAATAAAAAGAATAAGAAAATTAAGAATATTCGTCTTGGACCAACTCGTTGATGCCCGTCCATTATTAAACGCAATTATAAAAGAATTGCAAACTGCAATAAATAAATGCGCTAGTCGGTCAGGACGATCTAACGTTCCAGTCTTTTTGATAAATGGCTATATGAAATTTCAAATCAATATTTGCTTCGGGCAACAATTTTTGAAAGCAATCAAGAACAGATTATCCCGATTGAGAAAATTAAATGGAAAGTTTCAGTTTCCGTCCCAATTTGCGATAACTTGAAATGCATAGAGAACTACTGCATGAACGCTGAGTAGCGATTCGTAATCGAATGCTCATAGTAAGGATGAAGAGATTAGTCCCGTGTGTATTGTGGGATCAAAACTGATTCGATCCCATTACAGATGAAACAACAACAGTATATCAAAAGATTATGATGAATCGATTTTCCGCAATGACAACGCTTCGTAGAATCCAGTCAAGCAGTGTTAGAACAATGTACTACTCGATATAACGTGCTTATCACACATTCTTCTTCTTCTAATGAAGACTCATTCTAATCGATACCCCATGCTTTAATCATGCAATATGTTCCGTTCACTCCCACAAAGCCACCCAAAAATGCGTCTCTTCGTCGATAGCCTTAAATGACCAGTTATTCTTTGTATCAAGAATTATTACAATAGATGTATTACGGAGAAATTCGGAAAATATGAGGGCTAAGTTTGGACGATAAGTGATTTGAATAAAATATTTGTGCGCGTGCCTTCCCGTTTCCTTAAAGGCTCTAATGCGCTAATAAATCACGCAAAACTTAATTATAATCCCAATAGCTGTGACGGCATCAACGGCTAAATGATGAGAGCAAGCAGCTACGATTCAGTGATTTGTTATTCTAGTGCGATGATCATTATCATCATCATAGCATCAGCATAGCGTATCTCTTTGCCCGCCTACTCAACTAAGAATTGATCACTTTAATAATAGATAAGGCGGCCATAAATAAAATGTGTCGTCATATTAAGGTTGAATCATATCAAATAGCTTAAGACAGACTAATAAAACGCAAAGAAAGAGAAACAGTCAAGCACAAGCAATGCAACAATTAAAAAAAAAAAGAAAAAGACAATCAATCAAATAGACAGGAGAAGCAACAACGGTCCGAAAGAAAAGTGCATGCATGTCGGAAACATACATGTAAGTCACACATATGTACTGTAACACAACATAATATAAAACAAGCGATTGTGTTTTTTTTTTTTGGAGGGTTGCTCTTAGGGTGACAGTACGCGATTCCATAGTAATGATAGTAGTGTAACCCAGCGACATAACATCATCAGTCAGTCACCATGCCAGAATAATTTCAGAATAAAAAATGTGTATTAAAAACATCAAAAATAACAACAATAACAACATACATCAACATGATATTGTATTGTTAACCGCAAAAGGGTAAAAAGGAAATACATAATAAAATGCATGCGACAACAACAGCAACAATAAAATTAATCCCATCAATAAAATATCAACAACAGCGAAAAGCCATAAAGTAGAAAAGAAATAAAAATAATAATAAACAAACAACCAAAAAAAAATTTATAGTAATACATATTACAAAAAAAAAAAAAAAAAACTTCTGCTTCTACTACTACTACTGCTATTGTTAAGCGAGACGGAGGAGGAAGAAAAAATTGAAGAAGACAATGCACAAAAACAGTGTATAACAATTCTGTTGTCATTGTATATGTACATTAAAACAAAAACAACAAATACATATATAAATCTAGCTATTTACGGCAGGGGTTATAGTTAAATAGTTTTAAGCCTTCATGACAGCCCTATATATATACACATATCCTGGTTAATACATATATCCGAATATAAACATATACTGTGCAAACTGAATCTCTCGGATGCATACGTCTGTAATCTTGACTTTGTGCACATTAGAGAGATTCGACACACTCAACCATTGCCTGCAAATACTTTGAATACGTTTAGATTGCATTTACTATTCAAGTTTTCTTCTTTTTCTGCTTTTTTTTTTGCTTTTTCTTGACAAAAGGTGGAGATGGGTGTATGCATTGCAAACTACAATATGAGCAGATAGAGAGACAGCTAGAAAGATATTTGCGGTTCGCAACGAGTCACCGGAGGTATAATTGAACAGAATGGCTGCCAGTTAGTGAGCCAGACATCCAAGCAGCCAGCTAGTCATAGAGAAAGAGCGACGACTGTGTAATTTGTAAATCAAACGTTTTTTCGTGCCCGCTTCGACCTAGTATAACCCACACAAACTTACATAAGTAAATAGGCGGACATAGAGTCAGAAACACACGCACATCTGTTATATATACTTCTCGCACTTGATTATTTACTGACTGACAAACGCATGTCTATGAAGACACTTCAAATTGAGGTTTGCTGCTGTTGCATACTGTATGTTGTTGC